GCTCCCTAGGAAATAAGGACAACACCTCACATTTGGGTTAACTGCCTCGGGAATGACTTTGGGCCCAGTGAACCAGGCAGTTAGTCACAGGCCCTGTATCAGATAAGAAAGCAAGCACGGAGAAAGGACAATCTGTATTTTATTTGTATCGGCCTTTGCGGTGTATACAGACACCCAGGAGCCCCTTCTCCCAGCCTGGGGAAGGGATGGTGGATTCTGGAGGAAGGAGACATCAGTGAGGACACAGAGTTCAAAAGAAGGCCCTGCTCCCCTCAGCCAGGGGCATCTGTGTGGGCTGGAACTTGTACTGTTTGCACACTTCCTCCCCACCAGGCCACAGAATCTACATGGGTCCTCCTTCTCGACACCAGATCACTCTTTCGTCTCCCCATGGGCTTGCTATGAGCAGGAGACGCAACTTCTTCTCCAGCTTCTTTTCCTGCTCTTCCCATCCCTTAAGTTCTGTTCCTGGGGATAGAGACACCAATACCCACAACCTCTCTCCTAAGCCTCCTCATAACCCAGGGTGCACAGCACACACTCCTGACAACTGGTTAAGGCCAACGACCTTCGAGCTCACAGCTGGCTGTGCCTGAGGGCAGGGCAGTAGGCATGAATGCTTATATGTTGAAGGCAGGACTGCCCTATGACAGGGTGTGGGGAGCCACGGGGCTCTGGGGTATGTCTGAGTGGGGACAAAAAGGTTCAGGAAGCCAAAGGCATGGGCTTATTTGTCATAGAAGTCCACATGGGCTCCAGACTTGAACTCGTCCTTTTGCAGCAAGCTCAGCAGTTTCTGGGCTGACACCCTGCAATCCACCAGCTCTCCCTTTGCCTTCAGCTCCTGCAGTCCTTTTCGCATGTCTGGGTCCATGGAGGTCTCCCGGGCCAACTGCTGCATGTCTGTGTCCAAAGGACCTAGAGGATGAAAAGCAGATGATGAGGGAACATGGCCGAGGCAGGGACAGGAGGTTTTCGGTCCCCGTTGTATGTTGGGGGTGGGGCTGAGTCAGGTCTGGCCAGAGGAAACACGTCATCTTGGCTGAAATGTGTGGTCAGGGTTGCTGAAGGCTCCAATTTGTCACTATTGAGTTCTGGGCTGAAATTCAAAAGCTCATGAACACGGACTCTCCAGACTACCATGTCTAAACCCAAGCTCCTCATCTGTTCAACCAGCACTACCTTCTGACATCCCCATTCCTATTAGTCAAGTATTCTTTTTCCAGAGTCAAAACCTCCATCACCTCCTCCTTCCACGCCCCATAGCCACATAGCCAACCAGGCACCAGGTAGGACCCTTCAGCATCTACACATCCCAACCATCAGGCCCTTTTTACAACCTTGCGTCTCTCCCTGCTTCAGCTCCTTCTGTAGCCCACTACTAAACTCATTCTACTCAAACATCACTGGGGGCCAGGCACAGTGGCTCATGCCTGTAATCTCAGCACTTTAAGAGGCTGAGGCGGGAGGAACACTTGAGGTCAGGAGTTTGAGACCAGCCTGGCCAACATGGTGAAACTCTGTCTCTAATAAAAATACAAAAATTAGCCAGGCATGGTGGCACATGCCTGGCTAATTTTTGTATTTTTAAGAAATGAAGGCTTTAAGAGGCTGAGGCATGAGAATCGCCTGAGCCTGGGAGGCGGAGGTTGCTGTGAGATCACAACACTGGACTCTAGCCTGATGACAGAGCAAGACTATCTCAAAAAAACAAACAAAAACATCACTGGAATCACACCATTCCTCTGCTCAAAACCCCTCAACAGCTTCCCAACAGCCTGGCCTAGTACTCAAGGCACCCCTGTCTGCTCTCCTCTGGGCACACCACCTACCCTGCAGGCAAACAGGACGATCTGCCACTCTCACAATGAGCCTTCACATCTTCATTTCCTTTTATCAGGAATGCCTTCCACCTGCTAATAACCAAGGTCAATGTACAGTTCAGCTACCTCCAATAAAGCCATCCCTAGTCTCCCCTGCTGAAGGGAATCGTTCCCTTCTTGAACTGTTGTAAGCATGTTCTGTTCTTCACATAGGAATCACTCATGCACCCCAGAATTTGCAGTTAATGGTCCTCAGGGGCAGAAAATCAGAGAATTCCAGGGTTGGAAGAAGAATCTCTCTCCTGGTCCTTGACTGTTTTCCAATGACCTGTGCATCCCTGCCGAGAGGGGACTTGCTGCCTTTCCAAACAGACCATCCTATCTCTGAGCACCTATTAGAACATTCTTCCCGAGACCAAAATGAAAACCTTGGTTCAGGCCCTGGGGACCTCCTGAAAAATCTCAGCTCCCTCATAATGCCCAGGGCAGCCTCCTGAGACCAAACGCAGCCATGTGGCCTCTGTTCCTGGCTGTAGCTTACATTTGGTCACTACTGTTTGTACGAGTCCTTGGGCTAGGCTCAGAGTGGATGATGAGTTGAATGTCAGTTGCAAGAATAACTGTGCATGTGTGTTGGGGGCAGGGGTGGTTGGTGTGGTAGGGGCTGGGGTACTGGAGAACAAGAGGAAGAACTTGGACGCAAGGTGGGATCCAGCCCTGCCACATCTGTGCTTTGTGCAGGCCATTCCACCTGTCTGCCCTGAGATCCTGGTCCTATTCCCCAGGGGCACAGACTACTGGATCTCTGCCCAAGTTGCTCAGGCATTCCAGGGCTGCTCTGTTACCACCTTCTGATTGCAGCAACCTCAAGCCTAGAAGAGAATCCTCACTATTAAGAAAGGAGTGCTGTGGCATAAAAAACCAGACCCAGTGTCACAAAACTCCCTGTCCTTTGGTGTTCATGAGACCAAGGGCTCTACCGTATTTATCCCAGTATCCCCCATAGTGTTCCAGCACAGTTCAGCTGGGGATAGTCAGCGCTCAACAATGTCTGTCGGCTCTCCATGCAGCTAGCATGTCCTGCAGCCTGTGTTAGTGCAGTGCTTTGCTAGGTGCTATGCATAGTGCAAAAGCTTTCCTGTCAAGGGAGGGAAGGAGGCAAGCAAACATGCAGACAGTATGGTGTGGTCAGTCCTATTTAACAATGAGGCAATATGTCACAGGTCCGGGTCATTTTCACATACAGTATCTCATTCAGTCTTCCAAAGTGCCCTGTGAGGCAGGAAGGATCTTGCCACATTTCACATGAGGAAGGCCTGAAACTCGAAATCCAGTCTTCTCCCAAACTCCATCTAATACCTTAGACTTTCCTGCCTCAAACCTCCAGTCCAGGCAACTCATCCCTCTCTGCCAGTATCCCAGCCCCTGCCAGCTCTTACTTCCTTGGGTCCATATTTTCCCTAAGGGGTGATGGGTCATGATTCAGGGACAAAATACTCTGTGGGTTGTTTCCTGGAGGGAGTGGACTAGGCCGCTTGCCCAGCCCCCAGAGGGGGACCAGTGGGTCCTGGAGGACAGGGATGGCAGGACTTCCCACCTACCTGGGGCATAGTTCAGCACCCTCACGTTAGGTTCCTCCAGCGCTAGGACCTGGAACAGCATATCACGAGCAGCCTTTCCTGCACAGTACAGCGCCCAGCCTTTGAAGGGCTGCAGGGCACAGAGGGACGAGATGTTAACCACGGTTCTGTTGAGGCCAGGACTGGCCGGGAAGGCCTTCAAGACGCTGGAAGTCAGGCAGAGCATGGAGGTCAAGTTCAGCGCCCAGTAGTTGTTCACTTGAGTGGAGTCACTCAGGTCTGTGAAGCCTTTGGACACATCCCCAAGAGAGCCTGAAAAACCAGAGCTTAGGAGTAACTCAGTGCAGGAAGGGCTTTCTTCTCCCCCAGCCCTCTCCAAGTTCCTCCGGATATCCTCTTCCCATGCAGGCCTAGTGGAAGAAGTTGCCTAGCGCTTCAGAAGAGGCTTCTCTCTACCACACCTCTGCGGAGAGACACACCTGGGGAACCCAGCCATCCCAAGCTGCAGAATGAGAAGGCACCTGCCTTGCCCTGGGGCTGAGGGACAGTCCTAGGGGTCCTTTGGAAAAGCAGGGAGTTTACTAGTTTGGAGACTCCAAGCCCTGTCTCAGGCCTCCACCAGAGGGCGCAGAGCAAGGGGATCGGGAAAGTTCCACAGGCGCTTTGGAAAACCCGGCTGGCCAATTTTCCAGGAAGTGGAGCAGACTGTTGCCCCGACGGCACCGAGTCTCCCTGTACACCTCGCCTTCATTTGCTACTCAAACTAGAACAACTAGGGCTTTAGATTTCCAGGCTTCCTATCCGAATCCCTAGGAGTCGCTCTTAAATTCGCCAGCGGTGGAGGAAGTGGACACTCACATGGGATTCCGCTCCAGCCCCGGTGTCTTACCGGCGTTGTTGATCAGCAGCAGTCGCTGCAGCCCCTCGGGCCTGGGGAGCTCGCGCAGGGTGCTGAGCAGCTGCTGCAAGCCAGCCTCTGCGCCTAGGTCGGCAGGCACCCGCACCACGCGCAGGCCAGACCGCTCGGCGCCCAGCTCGGCCTCCAGCTGCCGCAGTGCCTCGTCGTTGCGGGCGTTAAGGACCAGCACGGAGCCGCGCGATAGCAGCGAGACCAGGAGCGGGGCCAGCGCCCGGCCGAAGCCGCGGGAGGCTCCGGTCAGCACGCACACAGCACGCCCCAGGCCGCCCTCCATGCTACCGTCCTCCGCCGGCGCCGCTGGGCCCCGAGACCAGGTGGGAGGCGGGGCGGGCCGTGGAGGGGGTGGGACCGCGACGGGTGTGGGCGGGGCCGCCCGGCCGGGGAGGGGCCGGAACCTCAGGCTTCGGGCCGCGAGGGCCCAGGGGTGGTGGTTTTCCCTGGATCTGGTTCCCTTGACTGCTGGTAGCGGAAGTCAAGTTGTGGGCGGGAGCCCAGTACGTGTTGAGGGTCTAAATAGAAAGGGCCGGCAGGCGCGGCCCACACGGAAAGCCCTAGCCGGGTTCCTAGCGCTGCATTGCTCTTTGCCCGCACGCCCAACCCCCGGCTGGGACGCATGCTCGGAATTTCCTCCCAGTTCCAGCCCTAACTTCTTTGCACAACTGACCTCTTCCAGGGCAGGCCCCGAACCCGGTACTGGGCGTCCTCCTGGTCGTGGCCAGTGAAAGCCCTGAATGAAGCTCATGCCCATTTAGGGATTGAGGTCTCTGCTGGGCTTGGGAGCACACCGCTGTCTGGGTGACAGGAGCTTCCTCTGGGAGAACCACAGTGGTTCCAAGTGATAATAAAACCTTTCCGTTTTACTAGACTCTGAGCAGCTCCTTGCTGTCACCAGTACCCTCTGCCTCTTTGAGATTTCTGATTTCTGTTCCTAAAAGTGTATTCCTCAGGATTCTGCCCCTGCTTATGCTACAGTCTCCCTGGTAGCGATTCCGTCCATTCTCAGCTTCGAGTTTATGCAGTCGTCTGTCTGTACCTCCAGGTAGGTGCTTCAGAAAATTCACATTTTTTTTTTCTAGGAGAGAGGGAATGTGAGACAAGTTGGCATGCAGCTACATGTATTAAAAATGAATCTCTTCATGGTTTCCTTTATGGCCGAATGGTATTCCATTATGTATATACATATGTTCAAATATTGTGTATCAGTTTTTAAAAAATGGATCTCTTTATAGAGTTTAGCAAGGGCAGTAAGTAACCTCTGATAACAGCTCAATTCCCCACAGGGCTGATCCCTCCCCTGGGGCTAAACAGCAAAGTTACCTTGCCACTATTATTGCCAATTCCAAGAAAGAAACAACTTGGAAGAAGCTTTTTTTTTTGGGTCTCGCTCTGTGGCCCAAACTGGAGTGCGGTGGTGCAATCAGAGTTTACTGCAGCCTTGAGCTCTTGCGCTCGAGCAATCCTTCCACCTCAGGCTCCTGAGCAGCTAGGACTAACAGGTGCACCACCACGCTTGGCTAATTGTTTTTAAGCTTTTGGTATTTCAATGCTGATAGGACCCTGTATACGTGTATACCATTTGAAGTTGCCCTGCTTTTCACTTAGCTATTCACACTGAAAGATAAAGATCTTATTGGCCTAACAGCCTACTCTTTAAAGAATTTTAATAGCTTCTCCCTGCTCTCCAGGCCTTAGAAGACAGGTTGATGAAAGCAGGATCCCATCCATCCATTCATGTGACATTTATTAAATTTCTACCATCTGTCAGACTTTGAAGAAAAGGAGGGAACAATGAAGGGATGGTAAAGCATGAGACTTAGCCTCTTCTGAACCTAGCTGCTTCTAGGAGGAACCACTTAGGAACAGCCCCTAAGGAGAGTGTGGTTTTCCTGGACTAGGAGAGGGTCTGGAAAATTCTTTTCTGAGAAAGACGATTATCTGCTTTAGCTATTTTTCATATTTTTTGTAGAGATGGATCTTGCTATGTTGCCCAGTCTGGCCTTGAAATCCTGATTTAAAGCAGTTTTACTATCTTGGCCTCCCAAAGTGCAGAGATTATAGGTGTAAGCCACTGCACCCGGCCAACAGTAACTTTTTTTTAAAAAAGGCACAAAAATGCCTGAAAGGTAAGATGTAAAAATTGTGTTAAAAGCATAAGCCTGATAAAGGACATGGGTAGGGGAATGGGTGAAATTTGAATATGGTCTGTAGGTTAGTTATTGACATTGAATCATTTCCTGATTTTAACTAATGAACTATTGTTATTTCGGAGAATGTTCTTGTTTTTGGAAATACACACAAGTATTTAGTAAAGGGGCATCACATCTGCAACTTACTTTCAAATGTTTCTGAAAAAAATTAGAATGAGTAAGGCAATGGTAAAATGTTAACATTTAGGAAATCTGCATTAAAAATATTCAGGAATTCTTTGTACTATTCTTGAAACTTTGTAAAAGTCTGAAATTATTTCTAACTAACAAAGTTTTTACAATGAGCCATACTTGGCTCATGCCTATAATCCCAGCACTTTGGGAGGCTGAGGGAGGAGGATCACCTGAAGTTAGGAGTTTGAGACCAGCCTGGCCAACATGGTGAAAGCCATCTCTACTAAAAATATAAAAATTAGCCAAGTGTGGTGGTGCATGCCTGTAGTCCCACCTACTCAGGAGGCTGAGGCAGGAGAATCACTTGAAGCCAGGAGGCAGAAGTTGCAGTGAGCTGATCTCACACTACTGTACTCTAGCCTGGGTGGCAGAGCAAAACTCCATCTCAAAAAAAAGAACCGTACTTACAAGTCAAAAATAAAATTTTTAAAAAAGTGAGCAAAGGATGTGAATAGACATTTATCCAAAGAAATTACACAAATGGCCAATAAGCACATAGAAAGATGTTCAACATAATTTGCCATCAGGGAAATACAAATTAAAATTACAATGAGATACCACTTCACATCCATTAAGATGGCTAAAATAAAACAGAAAGATTACAAATATTGGCAGGTGATATGATTTGGCTGTGTCCCCATCCAAATCTCGTCTTGAATTATAGTTTCCACAATTCCCACGTGTCATGGGAGGGACCCAGTAGGAGGTTAATTGAATCATGGAGGCAGGTCTTTCACATGCTGTTATTGTGATAGTGAATAAGTCTCATGAGATCCGATGGTTTTATAAATGAGAGTTCCCCTGCACAAGCTCTCTCTTGCCTGCCACCATGTAAGACATGCCTTTCACCTTTCACCTGCCACTATGATTATGAGGCCTACCCAGACATGTGGAACTGTGAATCCATTAATCCTCTTTTTCTTTATAAGTTACCCAGTCTTGGGTATGTCTTTATCAGCAGTGGAAAAATGGACTAATACAGTAAGTTGGTACTGAGAGTGGGGTGCTTCTGTAAAGATACCTGAAAATGTGGAAGTAACTTTGGAACTGGGTAACAGGCAGAGGTTGGAACAGTTTGGAGGGCTCAGAAGATAAGAAAATGTGGGAAAGTTTGGAACTTCCTAGAGACTTGTTGGATAGCTTTGACCAAAATATTGATAGTGATACAGACAATAAGGTCCAGGAAGAGGTGGTCTCAGATGGAGATAAGGAACTTGGGAACTGGAATAAAGGTCACTCTTGCTATGCAAAGAGACTGGCAGCATTTTGCTTCTGCCCTAGAGATCTGTGGAACTTCAAACATGAGAGAGATGATTTAGGGTGTCTGGCAGAAGAAAATTGTAAGCAGTGAAGGATTAGAGAGGAAGCAATGCGTAAAAATTCGGAAAATTTGCAGCCTGATGATGCAATAGAAAAGAAAACTTCATTTTCTAGGGAGAAATTCAAGCTCACTGCAGAAATTTGCATAAGTAACAAGGAACCAAATAAGTAACAGGAAGCCAAGACAATGAGGAAGGTGTCTCCAGGGCATGTCAGAGACCTTCACAGCATTCCCTCCCATCACAGGCCCAGAGACCTAGAAGGAAAAAATTGTTTCAAGGACTGGGCCCAGAACCCCTTGCTGTGTGCAGCCTAGGAACTTGATGCCCTCCGTCCCAGCTGCTGCAGTGATGGCTGAAAGAGGCCAAGGCACAGCTCATGCTGTGGCTTCAGAGGGTGAAAGCCCCAAGCCTTGGCAGCTTCCACATGGTGTTGAGCTTGCTGATGTGGAGAAGTCAATAATTGAGGTTTGGGAACCTCCACCATTTCAGAAGATGTATGGAAATACTTGGATGTCCAGGCAGAAGTTTGCTGCAGGGCAGGGCCCTCATGGAGAATGTCTGCTAGGTCAGTACATGAAGGAAATGTGGGTTTGAAGCCCAGACACAGAGTCCCCACTGGGGCACTACCTAGTGGAGCTGTGAGAAAAGTGTCAGGATCCTCCAGACATCGGAATGGTAGATCGAAGAACAGCTTGCACCATAATCCTGGAAAAGCCACAGACACTCAATGCCAGCCCATGAAAGCAGCCAGGAGGGAGGCTGTACCCTGCAAAGCCACAGGGGTGGGGCTGCCCAAGGCCATGGGAGCCCACCTCTTGCATCAGCATGACCTGGATGTGAGATATGGATTCAAAGGAAAAAATTTTGGAACTTTAAGGTTTAATGACTTCCCTATTGGATTTTGGACTTGCAAGGAGCCTGTGGCCCCTTTGCTTTGGCCAATTTCTCCCATTTGGAATAGCTATATTTACCCAATGCCTGTATCCCCATTTTATCTAGGAAGTAACTAACTTGCTTTTCATGTTACAGGCTCAGAGGCAGAACAGACTTGCCTTGTCTCAGATGAGGCTTTGGACTTTGGACTTTTGAGTTAATACTGAAATGAGTTAAGACTTTGGGTGACTGCTAGGAAGGCATGACTGGTTTTGAAATGTGAGAACATGAGATTTGGAGGGGCCAGGTGTGAAATGATATGGTTTGGCTGTGTCCCCACCCATATCTAATCTTGAATTCTGTCTCCCACAATACCCACATGTTGTGGGAGGGACCCTGTGAGAGGTAATTGAATCATGGGGGCAGTCTTTCCTGTGTTCTTCTTATGGTAGTGAATAAGTCTCACAAGATCTGATGGCTTTATAAATGGGAGTTTCCCTGCGCAGTCTCTCTTGCCTGCCACCAAGTAAGACATGTCTTTTGGCCAGGCATGGTGGCTCATGCCTGTAATCCCAGCACTTTGGGAGGCCAAGGCAGGCAGATCACTTGAGGTCAGGAGTTTGAGACCAGCCTGGCCAACATGGTGAAACCCTGTGTCTACTAAAAATACAAAAATTAGCTGGGCATGGTGGTGCATGCCTGTAAATCCCAGCTACTTGGGAGGCTGAGGCCAGAGAATTGCTTGAACCCAGGAGGTGGGGGTTGCAGTGAGCCAAGATTGTGCCACTGCACTCCAGCTTGGGTGACAGAGTGAGACTCCATCTGAAAAACAAACAAACAAAAAACGGCATGCCTTTTGCCTCCTAAGTAACTGGGATTACATGGGATTACAGGTGTGTGCCACCATACCCAGCTAATTTTTATATTTTTAGTAGAGACAGGGTTTCATCCTGTTGGCCAGGCTGGTCTCAAACTCCTGACCTCAAGTGATCTGCCGCCTTGGCCTCCTAAAGTGCTGGCATTACAGGCATGAGCCACTGCACCCGGTCTGGAGGCCAGAATTCTGAAATCAAGATATCAGCAGGGTTATACTCCCTCCAAGGTTTCCAGGGGGAGAATTCTTCCTCTTCCAGCTCCTGGTGGCTCCAGGCATTGCTGCCAGCAGTCCTCAATGTTCCTTGGCTTATAGCTGTGTAACTCCAAACTTTGCCGCTAACTTTACATGGCCTTCTTCTCTGTATGTCACTTGTCATTAAATTTAGGACCTGTCCTGAATCCAGGATTATCTCATCTCAAGAAACTAAATTTAATTATAGTTACAAATAAGGTCATATTTTTTCCAAATATGATCATATTCACAGGTTTCAAGTAGACATATCTTTTGAGGTTGAGGAGGGGGGATATACAACTCAACCCATTAGGATATACGATAGAGAAGCAGGGCTTTCTCATTAAGAAATTTCCTGGCCGGGCGCCGTGGCTCACGCTTGTAATCCCAGCACTTTGGGAGGCCGAGGCGGGTGGATCATGAGGTCAAGAGATCGAGACCATCCTGGTCAACATGGTGAAACCCTGTCTCTACTAAAAATACAAAAATTAGCTGGGCATGGTGGCGCACGCCTGTAGTCCCAGCTATTCAGGAGGCTGAGGCAGGAGAATTGCTTGAACCCAGGAGGCAGAGGTTGCGGTGAGCCGAGATCGCGCCATTGCACTCCAGCCTGGGTAACAAGAGCGAAACTCCGTCTCAAAAAAAAAAAAAGAAATTTCCTGGACAATTGAGCCCCAAATCTTGGCTTTTAGCCAAATTTGAAAAACTGATTTTTGAGAGATACACACAAAGGAAATGCCAAACACATTTCAATGGATACATTTATGAAGACACTGTTTCTGTGATCCCAGTCATCACCTTTATGACATGGAAGTTACTGGAGTGAGTGAGTAGTGCTTTTTGAAAAGGATGGGAACAATAAGATTTCATGTAGCTCATGGGCTTTCTGGGAAAATTTGAGTAAAGGGAAAAGGACAGGGAAGCAGAAGCACACAGAATAAAGATGTGTTTGATAAGAAAGATGGCAATGAAGTGATCCTGGTCTGGGTTAGGAAAGCAGGCTTTCGTCCCTGCAGTGGCACTCCAGCTTCAGGAGGTCAATGCTGGACAGCTCCCGCCTTTTCTTAGTAGCTTGAAAGAAAGGAAAAGATAGCCACGGTCCCTCTGCCTTCCTTTCCGCCAAGACCAAGCATTTCATCCCCCTCCCCCACCCCCGCCCCAAACTCATCTTTTCTTTATTGCTTCCTTTGTTCTGGGATTTCTCAATAATGTGTCACCTGGTGACAGCAGCTTTATGCATATTCTTTAGTTTCATTCATTCATTCATTTATGCATTCATTCAACAACTATTTATTCTATTTACTGAGTGCCTACCAAGTACCAGACTTTGAAGACACCACATGCCACATATAGGTACTAGAGATACATCAGTTTACAAAATAGGTAAAAATTCCTGTCTTCCTCAGGCTTACATTTTTGGAGAAACAGACAAATAAATAAATAAATAAATAAATAAAACCTACGGTATGTTGGATGGAGCTTTGTTTTGAATATGTCCCCCAAGGTTCATGTGTTGGAAAATTTTTTTTGAGACAGGCTCTCACTCTGTTGCCCAAGCTGGAGTGCAGTGGCATGATCTAGGTGCACTGCAGCCTCCACTTCTCAGGCTAAAGAGCTTCTCCCACCTCAGCCTCCTAAGTATCTGGAATTAAAGTTGCATGCCACCATGCTCAGCTAATTTTAAATTTTTTGTAGAGATGAGGTCTCACTATATGGCCCAGTCTGATCTCAAACTCTTGGACTCAAGCAATCCTCCCACCTGGGTCTCCCAAAGTGCTGGGATTATAGGTGTGAGCCATGGTGCCCAGCCGTCTGTTGGAAACTTATTCCTTAATGCAACAGTGTTGGGAGGTGGAGGATAATAGGCGATTAGGCCAGCAGCAGGCTCTGCGCTTGTGAATGGATTAATGCCATTGTCACATGAGTGAGTTATTATTGCAGGAGTGGGCTTGTTATAAAAGTGAGTTTGGGCTGGGCATGGTGGCTCATGACTGTAATCCCAGCACTTTGAGAAGCCAAAGCAGGTGGATTGCCTGAGCTCAGGAGTTTGAGACCTGCCTGGGAAACATGGTGAAACCCCATCTCTACTAAAAATTCAAAAAATTAGCTGGGCGTGATGGTGCATGCCTGTAGTCCCAGCTACTCTGGTGGCTGAGGCATGATAAGTGCTTGAATTTGGGAAAGCAGACATTGCAGTGAACTGAGATTGCACCACTGCACTCCAGTCTGGGTGACAGAGTGAGATTCTATCTTAAAAAAAAAGAGTTTGGCTCTCTTGCTGTCTCATTCTCACACATACTCTCTTGCCCTTCTGCCTCTGTCATGGAATGGTGCAGCACAATGGTCATTACCAGAGTCTTGTGCCATGCTCTTGGGCTTCTCAGCCTCCATATTTATGAGCCTAATAAACTTCTATTGTTTATAAATTGCCCATCTCAGGTATTCTGTTGTAGCAGCATAAAACAGACTAATATACATGATGATAAGTTTCAAAGGAAAATAAAACAAGGATGGTAATTATGGAGTGCTGAGGTGGAGAGTGCTTGCAATTTAATACTGGGTGATCAGAGAATGCCACATTGAAAGCATAGTATTTGAGAAGAGAGCAGTAGGAGGTGAGAGAGTGACCCATGCAGCTATCCAGAGGAAGACTATTTCAGGCAGAGAAAACAGCAAGCACAGAGGCTCCTAAGTGGGAGGGTGCCTGGGTGGTCTGAAGAACAGGAAAAGGGCAGGATTGCTTTAGTAGTGTTAGCAAGGCAGAGAGAATTTAGAGAGATCAGATAAGTCATGGAATGCCAGATTTGTACAGGCCTTACAGGTGGTTGTAAGACTTTTCCTTTTATTAGCAGAGAGATGGGAAAGCACTGGAGGGATCTGAGCTTAAGGGACCGGCTTAGATTCATTCCTGCTTCAGTTTTGAGAATAAACTGTAGACTCTAGGGAGGAGCAGCGAGACTATCTAGGAAGATGTTTCTGTATTACAGATGAGAAGATTCTGGAGATGTGATTCATTTGGGGATATATTTTGAAGAAGAAGGCAAAAGGATTTGCTGCTGAAGACATGGAGATGGAGCATAGAAAAAAGAGGATAATCGATGATGACCCTATGGTTTGGGGCCTTTGCAACTGGAAGGATAAAAATTGCCATTTTTTGAGGTGGGGAAGACTGCAGAAGGAGCAGGATTCTTTGAAGGAGATCAAAGTTCAGTTTTGGGGCCAAGTGCAGTGGCTCACGCCTGTAATCCCAGCACTTTGGGAGGCCAAGGCTGGCAGATTGCTTGAGGCCAGGAGTTCAAGACCAGCCTGGACAACATGGTGAAACTTCATCTCTACCAAAAAATAAAAAAAATTAGCCAGGTGCGGTGGTGTGTGCCTGTAGTCCCAGCTACTTGGGAGGCTGAGCCAGGAGAATCACTTAAACCCAGGAGGCGGAGGTTGCAGTGACCTGAGAATGCACCATCGAACTCCAGCCCGGGTGACAGAGCAAAACTCCATCTAAGTAAATAAATAAATAAAAATAAATAAATAAAATAAAGCTTTCTTTTGGATGTGTTAAGTTGAGATGTCCACTGGATATCAAAGAGGAGATGTCAGTAGACATACATATAAATTTGGAGTGAAAAGGAGGGGTCTAGACTGTTGATACAAATTTGAAAGTCTTCACCAGAGAGATAGTTTTTAAAGCCTCAAGATAGTATGAGATCACTTAGGGAGTGAGTATAGATGAACAGAAGTTGTGGAGATAAGGAGGAATCCAGAAAAAGAGACAGATATAGGGCTACCAAATGAAATAAAGGACATCTAGTTAAATTTTAAACAAATAATTTTTAGCACATAATTATCTGATGCAATATTTGGCATATGCTTACACAAAAAGTTATGTTATCTGAAATTCAGGCTTAACTGTATTTTTGTTTGTTAAATCTAGCATTCCTAGCCTGAGAACCACTGGCCATGGAGGCAGGAGGACAGTCATGAAAGTGTGGTGTCTTGGAAGTATAATACAATTTTTAAAGTACTTCAAGAAGAAATGTGTTATCAAAATTTCACAAACTCCTGGTAAGTCAAGTAAATAGAGAATTGATTTAGTAACATGGAAGTCATTGGTGACCTTCATATGTGATGTTTCTGTGAAATGGTGGGTGCAAAAGTTTGGTTGAAGTAGGTTCAAGAGAGAATAGAGGCAAGGAACAGAAGAATGCCAAGGGCAGGATGTGTCGTTTACATGAAACCTACTCACTATCCATTTTTCTGTTACTGTTGAATCTTGGTCACAGATCTACAGCTGAAGCACAGAATACTGTTGGTAGCCCCAAGGATCATTCCATGTTTCCCTGTTTACAACAGGTTTTCTCCCATATGGACCTGCTTGTTTGCGGGACACATTCTCCTCCTGTCCTGCCTGATTCTAATTTATGGAGCCTCTGTCCCTGCTTACAGTGCTGTCTGCGGAGACCCCACTCCCCAGGTTAGAAGATGCCAGTGTCAGTTACCCTCAAAATTATATGTTACCATCAAATAATGTGTTTAGCAATGCTAATAAGACAAATGAGGTGTGTCATTAAGAATTACAGCTGACATCTGAATATTCATTGCAAATACAAGTAAGCATGCTAGATGCAACTTGAAGTGAAAATAGCATTCATTATATGCTTTTTATGTGTTGACATTTTATTATACTTTATTATTGCAAGAGTGAAATTATGAGATAATTAATGATGACTATAAAAACTGTTAATTTTAAATATCAAAAATTTGCTAAGAGACTTTAAACATGGTGACTCATGCCTGGAATCCTAGTACTTTGGGAGGCTGAGGTAGGAGGATTGCCTGAGTCTAGGGGTTTGAGACCAGCCTGGGCAACATAGGGAGACCTCATATCTATGAAATAAAAAAAATTTTTTTTAATTAGCTGGGTGTGGTGGCACATGCCTGTGGTCCCAGCTACTTGGGAGGCTGACGAGGGAGGATTACTTGAGCCCAGGAGGGCTCAAGCTATGATTGCACCACTGTATTCTAGCCTGGGTGACCCAGTGAGACTCTCTCTCTCTCTTTCTCAAAAAAAGAGATTTTAAGTAAATAGGGGGAATAGACTGAACTAATATAAACCTTAAAAACGTACGTGAGATAATTCAGGAGCACATTTTTATTTCTTTTGATTCAATAAGCATTTAAATTATAAATAATAATACAGGCCAAAAAATTAGAGTTACAACTGAAAACTGCTATAAACAGAAAACTTTGTAAGGTCACTAGTATAAAATAAATATTCTGAAATCAATAGTTTCACAGCTTATTAGAAGACATAATAGAAGACTACATATAATCGGGCAAAAAAGAGAATTGCAGGTATAAATTTAACAAAAAAGGAAAATTAAAACTTTGCCAAAGAATAAAAAAGTAGATGAGACTAGAAAAGTATAAAGTGTTCTTGAATGAACATTTTATACTTAGGAAGGAAGACTCAGCATTACATTACAAAGATGTTAGTTCTCCCTAAATTAATTAAATATTTTAAATAGAATCTCAATAAAAATATCAAGTGTTTTTCTCAAATGAAACCAGCAAGAATAGATATAAACTAAATGTAATGCTGGGCACTAGATTAAATCCTGTATTGGAGGTGGGAGAAATGCTAAAAAGGGTAGCACTGGGTATTGGGTATTGGGTCAATAAGGGTATTGGGTCAAAGGGCAAAATAAAAACATGAATGGTCGAATAGATACAAGTATTGTATCAATGTAAATTCATGAGGTTGGTCATTGTGCTATGATTATGTACAAGAATATCCCTAGTTTTAGGAAATGCACACTTAGGGAACTGAGGGGTAAAGGCCATGATGTATGAAATTTATCCTTAGATGGGTCAGCAAAAAAGTTATGTATGAAAGAGGAGAAGAAGAGAAGATGAAACTATAAAACAAATATTAACAAGTGTGATCCTGGGTAAAGCATATGTGGCTATTTTTGTACTACTTTTGTGTTTGCAACAATTTGTGAATTTGAATTTATTGCAAATAAAGAGTAAAAAAGAAAAGAATGGGTAGAAAGAGTCTGAAAAGAAGAGCAATTGAAGGAGATTAGTCTGACCATAAAGATACTATTGAAATGGTATGGTTTTGGTACATGAATAGACACACAGACAAAGAAACAGAAATAAAAGTACAGAAAAGGTTGACTAGAATGGGGAAATTTAGTTTATTATAAAGGAGGCATCTCAATGTCAATAAATTGTGTTGTGATAACTGGGTATCTATCTGGAAAAGATAAAGTTGGATCCATAGCCCACACTATTCATCAAGATAAACTCCAAATGTAGCAAAGATTTTTATAGAAAAAAAAAAACCCTCAAAAGTAGTAGAAGAAAATATGGACAAATTTCTTTGTAACATTGGAGTGAGGAAGGCCTTTCTATGATTCAAAGTGCAGAACCAAATAAAAAGAGATTTATATATTTTACTACACAAAAAGATTCTGATGACACAAAAGTAGTTATAAGGCAGAGAAAAATAGGAAATGTTTTTGCATTTCATAAGACTGAAGAAGGGTTTTTTGTTTTTGTTTTTGTTTTTGTTTTTGAGACAGAGTCTCACTCTGTCACCCAGGCTGGAGTGCAGTGGCATAATCCTGGGTCACTGCAACCTCCGCCTCCCAGGTTCAAGCGATTCTCTTGCCTCAGCCTCCTGAGTAGCTGGGATTATAAATGAACACCACTATGCCTAGCTAATTTTTGTGTTTTTAGTAAAAACGGGGTCTTGAACTCCTGACCTCAAGTGATCTACCTACCTTGTAAGGTTGCTAATATAAAATAAATATTCTGAAATCAATAGTGTCATCACACCTCCCAAAGTGTCATCACACCCACCCCCTCTTTGCTTTTTAAAGATATAAGGATTTCATTGAAATCAAGACAAAAAGACAACCCAATATAAAAATAGGCAAAGGATATGAACAGATAATTCTCAGAAAAAGAAATACAAATGACTTTAAACTCATAGAAGATGCTCAATTTCACTCAAAATATGAGATCTGCAAATTAAAACAAAATTGACATGCCATTTATCATCTATGAGCTTGGTTAAAAAAATCCAAATGTTTGATGACACATAATTTTGGCAAAAAACTCTTATGCATTGCTTATTGGAGTCCCAAAGATTATAATCCTACGTAAAGCAATTTGGAAATATCTCTCAAAATTACACGTTTCTACCCTTTGACCAGTAATCCCACTTCTGGAAACTTACATCAAATATACTTCACATGCATGAAATAACTTGTGTTCAAGGTCATGCATGGCAGCATTGGTTATAACAACAAAACATTGGAAAAGATCCAAATGGACCTAGTTAAATACTCTTAAGATACAGCCTACAGAATGGACTAATAGGCAGCTATAAAAATGAATGAAAATTGCTCTTTATACTGATGTGAAAAGATCTCTAGAATATACTGAATGAAGAAAGCAAAGTAAAAAATAGAAAAAGTGTATCTTATGCAAAACGCAATCCTGTGCAATAAAGGGGGTAATAAAAATACATATTTGGATTTTCTATATTCACTATTTAATACTGGAAAGATCCTCAATAAATTATAAAACTAGTCAACTATAGAGGAGGGAGAGGGAAGTTGGGATGAAAGTAAATATACTCAGGGTGAACCCTTTGCATTACTTTGACTTTTTAAACCATCTAAATATATTCCCTCTTCAAAAAATAAAAAAATAAACAGCTTCTTAAAAACAAAAATGTTCTTAAAAAATTAGGAGTGATAATAGAATTATAATCTTTGTAGACTTGCTTGGTATTTTAGCATTCATAACATTCAATGAAATCTTCAAAAACAATATTTAATTTTTAGATATTTAGTATCATTTAGCTTTGAGTCTTTTAAAAAAAAGTCCTATTTGAGAGAGTCTTTAAAAAAAAAGGTCCTATTTGAGAATTGTTTACATCTTGTTGAGGATGACTTCAAAGGAGAATGTCAACTTTGCCACCCCAGAGTTTATGAGGAGGAAAACTCTAAATTGACTTGGAAAACCACCATGCTGAAGTTTGAGAATTGTTTACATCTTGTTGAGGATGACTTCAAAGGAGAATATCAACTTTGCCACCCCAGAGTTAATAAGGAGGAAAACTCTAAAATGACGTAGAAAACCACCATGTTGAAACAGCTTTGATTAAGATAGGATATAAACAACGAATAAACAAAGTTCCGAGAAAAATGAGGTATCTCAAACCCATTCTGTTTTCACTAATCAAATTTCAAAACAACAGGCTTTTAAAAAGTGTTTCAAGAAGATAGTTCCTTTTACTCTTGAGTCTATGCAAAAATTTAAATAGAAAGCTTGATAAAAATATTGCTATAGACTGCCAACTATTTTTAGTGGTAGATGAAGGATTTTTGACATTTGATGAAGATATAAAGTTCCTTCTATAAAATGTGTTACTAAAAGCAGTTTCTAGAATTAAAGTCTGCTGTGTATAAGAAGGTTAATGATATTATTAAATGTGCTACTTTTATACCCTCTATATCAGACACTTGGACATGAAGAAACAACCAGAAGTCTTTTTAAAATATAAGATAGCACGATGGTTTACTGGCAATAAACAGAAAGAGAGTAGATCTTTTCCATATTCTTCAGCAAAAGCAAACTATGTGATATACAAGATACTGTGGAATTGCCTTCGCCTTGTCGTGTACTTACTTGAGATGTTCACAGAAGATAACGCAACACTTATGACATATTAGGAAGGCCACTTAAATAGCAAAATAAAGCCTTGACCTTTTACTTTGCAGATCACTGTAGCAGCATAACAACCCATGTGATTTGCAGAGAAAAGAGTTTACTGGCTGGAACCTGCTGTAGACATAATCAACTCGGTTATCTTGTGAGGGCAATATTCCTTTCACTGAAAGCTGTTGTAAAGATCCTCCTATCAGCTTATTCTAGTGACAGTTGTGAAACTGATGAGCATGCAGTAAAACCTGAGATGCAGATGTTGTGATGGTTAATATTAAGCATCAACTTGATTGGATCAAAGAATGCAAAGTGTT